TAGGCCAATATCCAACTTACACCCTCTCTCAAAAATCTTCGAAAAACTAATTCATAAACGAATCTACTCCTACCTTATCTCCCCAAAAAATACTCAACCCCTGCCAATTTGGATTCAGGCCTAATAAAAATACTAATGATGCTATTATACACATGCTAGAACATATATACACTGCAATAGAGAAAAAAGAAGTCCCACTGGGGATCTTCATTGACTTACGTAAAGCTTTTGATACAGTTGACCATGACTTGCTCCACGTAAAATTGTCACACTATGGTATAAGAGGGCACTCCCTCAACTACCTCAAGTCATACCTCAGCAACAGAAGCCAATATGTGTACGCAAATGGGGCAAACTCTTCTGCACAACCAATTACAGTTGGTGTCCCACAGGGAAGTGTCCTTGGCCCTCTTCTCTTTCTCCTATACATAAATGACCTACCAAATGCTTCTCAATTACTCAAACCCACACTTTTGCTGATGACACAACATACGTCTTCTCCCACCCGAGCCCAGTCACGCTAGCCAATACTGTAAATACCGAATTACAGAAAATATCTACCTGGATGAGTACTAACAAACTTACACTAAACATTGACAAAACCTACTTCATTCAGTTTGGTAACAGAGCTACAGATGTCCCTCTTAACATAATGATAAACGGATCACCTATCACAAAGCTAACAGAGGGAAAATTCTTAGGAATCCACCTTGATAATAGACTCAAATTTCATACACATATACAACAAATTTCTAAGAAAATTTCCAAGACTGTAGGCATACTATCGAAGATACGGTACTATGCTCCACAGTCAGCCCTCCTGGCCCTATATCACTCTCTTATTTACCCCTATCTCACCTATGGAATTTGTGCATGGGGCTCAACAACAAGTAACCATCTCAGACCACTAATTACCCAATAAAAGGCTGCAGTTAGAATGATAACAAATTCTCACTACAGGCAACACACTCCACCAATATTCAATACACTCAACCTACTCACCATACAAAACATCCATACTTATTACTGCACCTATTACATACATAGAACACTCAACTCTGATATTAACCCTCCCCTCAAACATCTCCTTGCCACCTCAACAGAACACACGACCATAACACAAGGCACAGATCACTCTTTGATATTCCTCGTGTCCATCTCACGCTATGCAAAAACTCAATGCACATAAAAGGCCCTAAAATCTGGAATTCATTACCTGTAAATATAAAAGAAACACTACCTGTTTATAAATTCAAGTCTCTTCTCAAAGATCACTTACTCACCCAAAACCAAATAAATACTGAATAACTGAACCTTATAAATTGTATATCTTAAATGTTTCTCACAATTATATCACATAAATGTTAAACCTAAAACCCAATCTAACTTTATTATTTTTTAAATACACTACCTAACAGAATACTCCATTCTACTGAATTTACAACAATGCATGCAACCATATGACCTGTCTTTGTAATACTCACTTGTGCTTTATAGTAATCAGTTTACATTAATGTTTTTCACTGATTTCATCATTGCTTAGTTAATCTTAAGTTAATTTTAAGCCAGCCCGTAATGCTATGCATAGTATAAGTGGCTTTGGCATGCTGCTCTTATCTGTATTTTTTTTGTACCTCTGTAAGTGTGCTCAAATTATAAATAAATAAAAAATAAAATAAATAAATAAGCTACCTTTTTCTCTTTTATCACACCCCTTACTTCATCATTCCACCAATCACTCCTCTTTCCTCTTGCCCTCACCCTCCTATAACCACAAACGTCTGCCCCACATTCTAATACTGCATTTTTAAAACTATTCCAACCCTCTTCAACCCCCCACTACTCATCTTTGCACTAGCCCACCTTTCTGCCAATAGTCGCTTATATCTCACCCGAACTTCCTCCTCCCTCTTACTTGTTGTTGCCACCTTCCTCTTTTCCCATCTACCTCTTACTCTAACTGTAGCTATAACTAAATAATAATCCAATATTTCAGTTGCCCCTCTATAAACATGTACATCCTGGAGCCTACCCATCAACCTTTTATCCACCAATACATAATCTAACAACTACTTTCATTACATGCTACATCATACCTTGTATATTAATTTATCCTCTTTTTCATAAAATATGTATTACTTATTACCAAATCTCTTTCTACACATAGCTCAATTAAAGGCTCCCAATTTACATTTACCCCTGGCACCCCAAATTTACCTACTACTGCCTCCATAACATTTTTACCCACTTTAGCATTGAAATCCCCAACTACCATTACTCTCACACTTGATTCAAAACTCCCCATGCATTCACTCAACATTTCCCAAAATCTCTCTCTCTCCTCTACACTTATCTCTTCTCCAGGCGCATACACGCTTACTATAACCCACTTTTCACATCCAATCTTTATTTTACTCCACATAATCCTTGAATTTATACATTTGTAGTCCCTCTTTTCCTGCCATAGCTTATCCTTCAACATTATTGCTACTCCTTCTTTAAATCTAACTCTATTTGAAACCCCTGACCTAATCCCATTTATTCCTCTCCATTGAAACTCTCCCACCCCCTTCAGCTTTGTTTCACTTAAAGCCAGGACATCCAGCTTCTTTTCATTCATAACATCCACAATCATCTCTTTCTTATCATTTGCACAACATCCACGCACATTCAAACTTCCCACTTTGACAATTTTCTTCTTCTTATTCTTTTTAGTAATCTTTACAGGAAAAGGGGTTACTAGCCCATTGTTCCCGGCATTTTTAGTTGACTTTTACAACACGCATGGCTTACGGAAGAAAGATTCTTATTCCACTTCCCCATGGATATAAAAAGGAAAAGTAATAAGACCAAGAACTATTAAGAGAAAATCAAAGAAAACTCAGATGAGTGTGTATAAATAAACTTGTACATGTATGTGTAGTGTGACCTAAGTGTAAGTAGAAGTAGCAAGACATGCCTGTAATCTTGCATATTTATGAGACAGACAAAAGACACCAGCAATCCTACCATCATGTAAAACAATTACAGGCTTTCGTTTTACACTCACTTGGCAGGACGGTAGTACCTCCCTGGGTGGTTGCTGTCTACCAACCTAATAATAATAATAATAATAATAATAATAATAATAATAATAATAATAATAATAATAATAATAATAATAATAATAATAATATTATCTGATTTTAGTATTTTACATGTTTGTACAATAAAAATAAGTCACTCTGTCTGACTTTTTTGGGTTATCCTAGGTTCTTAACACATATGCTGCTATGTATGATAATCTATGTAACTGTACTTGTGTTAACCTGAATAACTTACTAACTTACTTATTGGATGTACATGCCAAAAGCCCCTTTATATGCAGAGCATTTTGGGCAAATTTATGACTAACTTAAGATTAATCAGGCAATAACAGTGCAGTAATTGTATATATGGTTATTATGTGAGAACTGAATGTTCTAGTAGATCATGCTATATGGCTTTAATAAGTTTGGTTGAGTATAATTACAGTTTTGATTATTAACCTAAGGTGGACACAATGGAATGATTAACATTTAGGAGGATTACAGATACTGAGAGTAAGTATATATTGATTATAATATTTTGCCTGTTCAGGATACTGAGCAAATGCACGTATTGCTTTGACATGCATATTTATGATGGGCTGGGATAGGTTAAGGAAAAAAAAAGGTGTTTTCTAACTGTAATTTTAAAAATGCTAGCTGAGCCACTGGTTCTGGAGATTTCTGGTAGTGTGTTCCTGATTTTGGGCCATTTTATGTACATGGAGTTTTTGAAAGGATTTAGCCCGACATTATTATGTCTAAGGGTCTAGTATTATGTCTAGTATTATGTCTAAGGGTCCTATTACAATTGTCAAGAAAGCACTTCAGGTCGGGATTTATATTAGAAATGACTGTTTTGTTAAGGTAGGTTGCACAGAAGTAAGAGTGAATGTTTTGCACAGTGAGTAGGTTTAGGTCTTGAAAAAAAGGATGGGGGGGGGGGATGTCTAGCAGTGGATTGTGTGATTATTCGCACTGCAGCCTTTTGTTGGGTTATTATGGCTTTAGGTGATTTGTCGTTGTGGAACCAAAGGCACAAATACCATAGGTGAGGTAGGGGTGGACCAGTGAATAGTATGGTGTAAGTAGTGCAGTACATAAAAACACTGGAAAAATAACGCTCATATCTCAGCAGGTACAGTACATTAAACACAACAAAAAAGTAGAAGTAGGAATGGAGGAGAAGAAAAGAACATAAGAAACAAGAATAATAGGAATAGCTCTTCAGCTGAGAAAGAAATGACACTGTCGTTTCTGACGTGTTAGCTTTACCTTTGATATATATGTATGTGCTCTACCTTTCATGGGTTCTGAGAGTTTTCCTACTAATGCAGCCCATCCCTGGGTCATACTGTCCTACATATCTATCACAGCCAGGTTGATCTGTTTCCAATTACCATGCGAGATCAGGCTTATATTTGGTCAAACAAAAACAGAATAAGTGAACAAAAACATGCAATACTACACTATCAGGAGTGGTCTTCTCAAGAAATTAAATCCTAAAAGCAGCAGCTTGGTAATATTTAAAAAAAAAATAAATAAAATACAAGAGGAGTCTACAGAATGCTAAGTACAGTAGTCCCCCTTTATCTGCAGGGGATACATTCCAAGACCTACTGTGGATACCCGAGACCGTGGATAGTAGCAAACCCTATATACAACTCGTTTTTTCGTTTACATGCATACCTATGATAAAAATTTAATTGATAAATTATGCAAAAATAAGTAGAGAATTATCACTTTTTCACTGATGGGAAGGACTTCATGGCATCTTTTAGGTTTTGAAGAACTGCCATCATCACTACTGTTGTACTCTGTGACCATTATCAAGCAAAATTAAGGGTAATTATCGGGCCATGGTAAACCGTGGATAACTGAAACCACAGAAACTGAATCTGTGGATACAGGGCGTTCTACTATATTAATACTTACTTGCCAGTACAGGTGCCTTCCACCTCTGTGAAGAGCATCTGTCTCACAGTGTCCATCAACTGCGGACCAAAGTATCTGGGGTGCAACAAGATCTCATGTTCAAGAGAAATCTGGTGAAGATAACAATTACTGATGAAGAAACAGTTATTCATTCACTACAATACAAAATTACAAAACAATTACTTTACACAAAATTGAAAGTAAAGCAATAGAATAATAAATATCTACAGTTACAGTGTATATTATTCAGGATCCTGACAATATATGCAACTTCACTTAGTTTATATGGAAAAAATTTACAAATTTGGAATTTAAATGTGAAATGTACTCTGGAATTTAGAATTACCTGAAAAACAATCAACCCTTAACCCGTAAACAGTCCAAGCAGATCTACGTTCACATGTGTAGTGCTACAAAAGTAGATCTACGTTTTTTTACATATTTTCAAATATAACAAAAAAAAAAGTAGATCAAAGTTTTTTTTACACATTTTCAAATGTAAAAAATCAAAAAGAAGATCTACTTTTTTTACATACTTTCAAATGTTGAAAAAACGTATATATACGTTTGGACCGTTTACGGGTTAAACTGTTTTTACATAAGAAAGCATGTAAAATCGAACATAGATCTACGTTCGGAGGGCTACGCGAGTGAACATAGATCTACATTTGGACAGTTTAAGAGTTAAAAGCCAAAATTAACCCTTTCAGGGTCCAGAGGCCAAATTTCAAAGTGTGCACCAGGGTCCAAGAATTTAAAAAACAACAAAAATTTATTTTTTCTTATGAAATGGTAGAGAATCTTTTTCTGAAGGTAATAAAACAAAAAGTACAAAATTTGATGGAAAACTGACGAAATTATGCTCTCGTGAATTTTGATGTGTCAGCGATATTTACGCATCAGCTATTTTACCGACTTTGACTCCCATTTTAGGCCAATTACATTATTCCAGTCGACCAAATTCTTAGCTGTTTCACTAGTATTACTTCCATTCTATTGATTGAGTACAAGAAATCGCCAAGTCAACTGTTTCAACTACAAAATAAAGTGATTGGAAATTGGTAATTTGGTCAATTTAACACAAAGTTCAAAATACGTCTTCTAATTTCAAAACAGGGTCCAGAATAAACAATGCAGGCATTCCTGGCACTAAACTAACATTCCTTCTGTTCATTAGTTACATTTTCAGGCTTTACGAATGAATTCCATTTTGATTTTTTATTCACAAAATGAATTTTTATTCAAACCAAAAATAGAAGATTTACTGTTATGCAATATTGTAATAATTGTATAAATAATATCACCACATTTATGAACATATATCAGACCCACCAGCTGGCGTCTATTAGACGTGTGAGGTCATTTGTTTACTCTTGAACATCGGCAAAAATTTAACATTTCCGCTATTTGAGCTCAGTTTCAAGCCATTTCCAGTAATAAAACCAATCAAAATCATCTCTATTTCTGTAATATATCTTCCATTCTATCAAATGAAACCAAGAAATCGCAAATACAACTATAAAAAAATAATACGAAAAAACACTGCAAAGTCACTGTTCTAATAAAAAATTACGGTCTCAATTTTTTTCTCTCATTATGCACTGTGTGCTGCAGGATTTGTTTTATGTGGTGCACACATACCACATAGATGTATTCTCTCATATCTAGGCCCAAATTTACCACTCACAGCTTATCAGAGTGAGCTGAGCTCATGGCGTAGATCTACAGTTTGGACCCTCAACTCAAAGCCGTAAAACTATGGCATGAACCCTGAAAGGGTTAAAATTTCCAAATACTAGTTTGTCAAGTAATAAACAAGTCATAGCCTAAAACTTTCGAGTACTACAGCAGCTTGACCTGACAAGTGGTAATGTTCTTCAAGCAGTCACATCAAGTCCAGAAGTGTGCTAAAAAGAAAATAAGTTGCATTATTTCCCTCTCCTCTCACTCACCATTAAACTCTTGCCACCCAACAAACTCTCTTCATCCCTACCCAACAAACTCTCTTCATCCCAACCCAACACTCTCTCTTCATCCCTACCCAACACTCTCTCTTCATCCCTACCCAACAAACTCTCTTCATCCCTACCCAACAAACTCTCTTCATCCCTACCCAACAAACTCTCTTCATCCCAACCCAACACTCTCTCTTCATCCCTACCCAACAAACTCTCTTCATCCCAACCCAACACTCTCTCTTCATCCCTACCCAACAAACTCTCTTCATCCCTACCCAACAAACTCTCTTCATCCCTACCCAACAAACTCTCTTCATCCCAACCCAACAAACTCTCTTCATCCCTACCCAACAAACTCTCTCCATCCCAACTCAACAAACTCTCTTCATCCCAACCCAACAAACTGTCTTCATCCCTACCCAACAAACTCTCTTCATCCCAACCCAACAAAATTTCTTCATCCCAACCCAACAAACTTTTTTCTTCCTCACATCATTATAAGTGATAAACTTTATTTCTATAAAATATAATTATAACCGATTCAGAAAAAGTGACATTATTGACATACGATTACTTTACAAAAAGCCCCTGGTTATGTACGACACTTAAGGCAGCCTTAAAATAAACTAATAACTACTATTGGAAATTTTACATAGGTTGAGTCAGATATGGAGGATATTCGATGGCATCGGTATCCGTTAAATCTGGTATTCGATACATTTTAATGCAAAAATTTTGCCTCGCCATTCGTTAAAAAACCCGCCACACGCGATTCGTCCAAGACGTGTCCACGTGTGGCCTGAACTGCCCCGTGCATGCCAGTGTTTACAAGCCAGCCAGTGTGCTCACATCTAAGCATACATTCTGTACATTCTATATTATCACTGTTTTTGGTGCTTGTTTCTGCAAAATAAGTTACCATGGGCCCCAAGAAAGCTTCTAGTGCCAACCCTTCGAGAAAAAGGGTGCTAATGACTACTGAAATGAAGAAAGAGATAATTGCAAAGTACGAAAGTGGAGTGCATGTGTCGGAGTTGGCCAGGTTGTATACAAAACCCCAATCAACCATTGCTACTATAGTGGCCAGGAAAATGGCAATAAAGGAAGCTGTTGTTGGAAAAGGTGCAACTTTGCTTTCGAAACAGAGACCGCAAGTGTTAGAAGATGTTGAGAGACTGTTATTGGTGTGGATAAATAAAAAACAGATAGCAGGAGATAGCATCTCTCAAGCGATCATTTGTGAAAAGGCTAGGAAGTTGTCTGAGGATTTAATTGAAAAAATGCCTGCAACTAGTGGTGATGTGAGTGAATTTAAGGCCAGCAAAGGTTGGTTTGAAAGATTTAAGAATCGTAGTGGCATACATAGTGTGATTAGGCAAGGTGAGGCTGCCAGTTCAGACTAAAAAGCAGCTGAAAAATATGTGAAGGAATTCAAGGATTACATAGACAGTGAAGAATTGAAACCTGAACAAGTGTTTAATTGTGACGAAACAGGCCTGTTTTGAAAGAAATTGCCAAGCAGGACCTACATTACTCAGGAGGAAAAGGCACTCCCAGGACATAAGCCTATGAAAGACAGGCTTACTCTTCTGATGTGTGCCAATGCTAGTGGTGATTACAAAGTGAAGCTTTTATTGGTGTATCACTCAGAAACTCCAAGAGCGTTCAGGCAAAAGAATGTCCTCAAGGCTAATTTGTGTGTGCTGTGGAGGGAGGGCAAACAGTAAGGCATGGGTCACTAGGGACTTTTTCTATGACTGGTTACATCATGCATTTGCCCCAATGTGAAAAATTACCTAAGTGAAAAGAAATTAGACCTTAAGTGCCTCCTGGTATTATACAATGCCCCTGGTCATCCTACAGACTTGGCAGAGTGACTTTCTGGGGACATGAGCTTCATTAAGGTCAAGTTTTTGCCTCCTAATACCACTCCTCTCCTGCAGCCCATGGACCAGCAGGTCATTTCCAACTTCAAGAAACTGTACACAAAAGCTATGTTTCAAAAGTGCTTTGAAGTGACCACAGACACTCGCATGACTCTAAAAGAGTTTTGGAAGGATCACTTTAATATCCTCAATTGTGTGAACCTTATAGGTAAGGCTTGGGAGGGAGTGACTAAGAGGACCTTGAACTCTGCTTAGAAGAAACTGTGGTCACAATGTGTAGACAAAAGGGATTTTGAAGGGTTTGAGGCTAACCCTGGGAATCGTATGCCAGTTGAGGAAACCATTGTGGCATTGGGGAAGTCCTTAGGGTTGGAGGTTAGTGGGGAGGATGTGGAAGAGTTGGTGGAGGAGGACAATGATGAACTAACCACTGATGAGCTGCTAGATCATCTTCAACAGCAAGAGGCCAGACCTGAGGAAACTGCTTCAGAGGAGGGGATAAAGAAATTGAGGAAGTTGTCTACTTCACAGATTAAAGAAATGTGTACAATGTGGACAAGGTGAAAGCCTTTATGGATGACAATCACCCTCACACAGCTATTGCAAACTGTGCTGGTGACTATTACAATGACAATGTTGTGAACCACTTTAGAAAAGTCGTAAAGGAACGAGAGGTACAGGACTCTATGGACAGATATGTTGTGCGACAGAAATCCAGTGACTCTCAAGCTGGTCCTAGTGGCATTAAAAGAAAAAGGGAAGTAACCCCGGAAAAGGACTTGCTACCTCAAGTCCTAATGGAAGGGGATTCCCCTTCTAAACAATAAGTTCGACACTCTCCCCTCCTCCCATCCCATCAATCATCACCAGATCTTCATTAAAGGTAAGTGTCATGTATTCTATTGTTAGTAGAGTACTACAAACTGTGCATGTTTTCTTCAGTTTGTGTGCATTAAACTTAATATTTCATGTGGTAAAAATTTTTTTTCATACTTATGGGTGTCTTGCACGGATTAATTTGATTTCCATTATTTCTAATGGGGAAAATTAATTCGCCTTTCGATAATTTTGGCATACGATGAGCTCTCAGGAATGGATTAATATCATATACCGGGGGACCACTGTACAGTATTAATATACGAGTTCTTATCATTTAGGAAGGTTACAATCTGAGAAGTGTCAAGCTAACTTAATGTAGTAAATAACACATTACAGTAGAACCTCGATATTTGTACGTCCTCATATTCGTACAACTCAATATTCACC